GGTCGGGTTGGGCATTCTTATGAACAGCCCTAACCTTAATTATACATTTAAATGGGAACTCGGATTTGGTAATATATGGACTGAACTTCTGGTTGGGTCAACCTTGGAGTTGGATGTTACATGGGTGAAAGTGGACCCGAATTATTCATTATCTTCACTTATCTGTTAAGAAAACAGGTACATGTCTCTTAATAACCAAAATATATAGGAAATGTCACACAAACCCTATAACAATCGAGCAAGCTCCAATTTATTGATAAATTTTTATTAGTTTAAATGCGTTTTATTAATATTACACTAATTTGATGTTTATTAATAATAACAAATTTTTATATGAACTTTAAATTTGCTAAAAAATAGTATTATTATAATGGTTATTATGATCGCTTTAAATATATAGATTATTACATGATTACTTTTGTATTATTAATAACATTTATTATTTTAAAGTAAAAGAATATGGTGGGGGCATGTGTAATTAATGGGTTGGATGCATGAAACTTCATTTATATATGGTGGAGGGGGTTTAATTTAAGGATGGGTTTGATTTGCAACACCTTCAATTGCCATATTAAAGAGGCTAAAAGCACCATGTAAGAAGTAAAAACATGCAAAATGAGTTCATCTAGGTTTAACCACTCACCCAACTCTTGAAAAGTCGTCGAAAATCGGTGCTCTAGCCAAAGAAAATGAAAGCCATGTACCTGGATGGCTGATGAAGCAAAGCTAGAAATGTAATTGGAGGAAGGTCGTCACTGATTGAAATTGTAGTATGAGTTCGCTGTTTGTCATAGTATTATCTTTAAATACATATTTGATCGATGCAACGAAATACAATTTTCTTTCTCACTCGTCTTGACTGTTTGTCATGGTATTAGAGTCGTGACAATCAAATCCAAGATCCGTTGTAATTCTTCTGTTTTGTTGCTACCTGGTTACAACTATGATTGCTGTTCTTGCTCAAGATTGACTGTTACTTGAGTTCCTATATTCTGAGTTTGTTGCGTAGAGATTCTCTGTCATTTAGAGTTCTCGTTTCACCATGGCCGGAGAAGTTAATCAGACTTCTCCCTACTATCTGCATCCCTCAAAGAATCCAGGAACAATGCTAGTTTCTTGTCCTCCATCCCCTCACCGGAGAAAATTACTCCGTGTGGCAATGAGCTATGAGGCAAAAAACAAATATGGCTTCATTAATGGATCACTTCGGAAACCAGATCTATCAACAGCCGGAGGGATGGCCTGGGAAAGATGTAGCTCCATGGTCATCTTGTAGTTATTCATCACTTATCTTGCTCGTGACCTCCACCAAGGTGAGCTCTCAATTGTCTCTTACTACACCAAGATCAAAGGGTTGTGGGATGCACTAATAAATCTTGCTGTTACTCCTGGTTATACATGTGGTGCGGGTAAAGATTTTGCTACAGAACAAGAAAAAGATCGTCAATACTAGTTCTTGATGGGGCTTAATGACTCATTAAAAGCATCTATTCAAGTATTCTGGCTCTCGAAACCCTTCCTAGTGCCAATCGTGCCTGTGCTCTCATTTTCAGCATTTCTACCAAGAATGGGAACCGTAGTGATAGCCCATGCTCCTAGTACAAGTGCAACCACTATGAAAAGGTTGGCCATATGAAGGATCGCTGCTTTGAACTTCATGGCTATACAGAATGCTGGGATATGAACTTCATGGCTATCCAGAAGGCTGGGAAAAGGGTACATCCACTCGTAAGCATGACTAGCTAGAAACGTTGTTGCTGTTCTCAGGCCGTAACGTGTACCACGACTGATACTCTAGGACTCCACAATTCTCAATTGGCAGTCTCACGCCAGATCAATACGCTCAGCTATTATGCCTTTTGAATTCTGATACCCAACACTTTAGTGCCACCAATGTTTCTAGTAAGCATCTTTCTCCAATTGATAAACAGTATTCTTGGATCCTTGATATTGAAGCGTTTGATCACATGACCTCCAACATATATTCTTTAATTCACTGTGAATCACTATCTGTTACCATTCTTATAGTTGCTGGATGGCTATATTATTACTGCAACACAGAGAGGGACTATTGTTCTAGCTCCTGATTTACTCATCCGGAGACGTTCTTTATGTGCCATCATTCACACATAATTTGCTCTCCATAAGTAAACTCACCTATCAGTTCAATTGCACTACTATTGTGTTTTCTTCCACATGTTGCACTTCAGGGTCAAGCCTCAAGAATGGTAATTGGTAAGGGAGTGTTGCATATGGGCTTTCTTCCACAGTTCAATTGCATTGTGTTCGTCGCCTTGCCGTGCCTGAGTTTACATTTGAGATTCCGAGAGAGAAGGAGAAGTGAGAAGAGGAACGAGAGAGAGAGAGATAGAGGGATCACCACCGGTCTGCCGAAGTTCACTGGTTGCACTGGTGAGTGTTTGCCGATTCTGTCTGCCTGAGAGTGTGAGATTGTGACTGTAAAAACTGAGAAGAGAGAACTGAGGTTCGGCTAAGACTAAGAGAAAGAGATGACTGAGAAGAGAGAGGTTAAGATATTTAGGGCTAGGGGTTTTGGTTTAACTTAAAGGTCGGGTCGGGCCAGGCTGGGCTCGGGCCAAGCTATTTTGACAAATCCCAAGCCTGGCCTGAAATAAATTCAAACCGGGCTTTTAGGCCCGAGGTCAAGCTCATGGGCTCAAATCTGTGTTCAAGCCCGTCTGGAGGCCGGCCCGGCCCGTCGGGCTACCTAGCCCATGAACAGGTCTAGTTGCGATAAAGAATGTTAATAATTGAAACTATGCAAACCAATCTCGGCTATTGGAGGAGAAATCAAACCATGTTGCCTTAGTCACATAAACTCTATTAGGATAGTCTACTATGGGCCAAGGCTTCACTGGAAAAGATGTCGAGAGGAAGTGAATCTTCTCCATCATCCAAGATGGGAGGAAATTCTGCCACGGGCATCATCTTCTTCTACTATTTAGTCCTTTGGAAAACATATTGAGAATGGACAATGAGAAATTTGTGCTTTAGGCTGTGTTAGGAAACAATGCAAATGGAGTGTAAATCCTGATTTAGGGTAAATTTGCACTCTGGTTCACTTTTGCCTGTGTTTGGCAACATTACATTAATGCATTTACAAATGATAGAAAACACATTTTTCAATGCATATTTACATTGATAATAAGATGTAAAAGTACATCAATAAAAAAGAAGTTAATTTGCATTAAAGTGGGCTTTTGATAAAAGAAAAGGCATATGTTTTATTGAAATTTGTATTTGCATCCATTACAACCAAAAGTTTGTTTGGTAAGAAGATAAATTTGTCATTACAAAGCTAACCCAACTTTGCAATTTATACGGACCATTTTACACTGTACATACTTGCATTCACACTTATTTGCATCGTTTCCAAACGCAGCCTTAATAATGAATAATGAAAAAAAGGAAATAAATCTATCTTAATATAATGGAGAGTGATGGAGAGAAATCAGTGGGTAAAGCAGAGGGAAACATTATTAGAATTATTGGAATAGGAAACGTCTCTCTCTCTCAAAAGAAACAATCCATGATTTTCTATTATTGAAGGGGAAATGCAAGGGAGAAAGCCCTACTAGCGTAGCCTAGGGAGAATGCTAGAAAGGGAATTATGAAGAACTAAGGAGAAGCCAAGGTTTGGGTAAAGAGAGAAAGGAGAAGCCATCTGGCGTGGTTATATTTATAATATACACTAATAGGTTGGGGGTGAACAAGTCATCAAAATAACCTTAAAATTGGTTTAAGTTTGCATAGGATATTTTGTAAACAAAATTCAATTAATTGGAAACATGTGAACAATTAAATTGTAAGTAAGCATTTGTAATTTTAGGTAAAGTTTGGGGAAGAAGTTAAAAATTGCATTCATTGGTTAACTTGTTTTATAAGTTTTATTATGAGGATAATGTCATTAAAATAAGTTCTAGAACATTTTGTCTTTTGTAGGAGAGATGTTGAAAACATACTTAAATTTATTGGTCCAATTACATTACAAGTAGTTAAAATGTTGGGGAAGATTTGTAATTTTAGGCAACAAAGGTGGCAATGAAATTTGCCCTTTAAAATGTTGTATACATATTAAAATAATTCTTTTGGTAATCAATTAAAATTAAATTAAATACGTATATAATACTTTATTTCTAGGCTTGCAATATGGCCCAGCCCAACTGTCAAGGCCCTAATATGGCCCAGCCCAATAGGCAAGATTTTCACTCAAGTCTCATCCATGACCAAGATTTAGATCCGATATACCTTCTTCAGTTGGGCCTGGCCTAATATTGATTAAAGGTGTAAGTTGGGCCGTGTCGCTTGCAGCCCAACACAATTTTAAGTCGACCTGGCACAATGGATTATGAGCCGTGTTAGGCACGATACGATCGTATGGGATGTGTTGGGCCTGTAGTTTCAGGTCCATGTGTTGGCACGATACAACACAACTGAGTGGGCCATGCCGCCCGTGGCCCGTGACATGATCCATATATATTTATATATATAATATAATATGTATATTATATATATTGATTATATAATATATTAATATATAATTTTATTTTCAATTTTATTATATTATTTCATTTTATTACTGCATACATCAAAATTCGTAAAAAATAAAGTTTTAAGATATTTTTTAAATTTTTGTCTATTTTTTAATCTATATTAAAATTTTCATTATTTTTTTCAAAATTTTTAAAAAATATGGTTTGACCCCGCTTGGCCCAAGGCTCGGCCTATGAACCAACCTGGCTTGCGGCATGACATAATACAACACGAGCCCGTGTGGGTTCGGACTGTGGGTCGCGCTGGGCCGACCTCCCAAGGGAGGGAAGCATGACCCAACTCAGCCCGCAGGCCGGGACGGAACGGCCCACACTTTGCAAGGGCCGCACGCGGTCCGGGCCGTGCCGTGCCGGCCCAGCACCTTTACAAGCCCAATAAAAAGGAGATAGTTCACGGTTCTATTTGCTCATACAGTCATGCTCCTTTGCTTATCTTTGTCCGTTCTCCCATTAAACGACGGCTAAACTCATGTCTTCTGGCGCATGACGCGCATCACAAAACGATACGTTATTTCCCAAGCGTTCCATGCGGCCACGCCTCCTAAACCTGTATTTTCAGGCACACTCTCTCTAGTCCACTTTCATGGGGAAGGCAGAGCCAGCTCGAATGATTCTGTCCTCAAATCCCTCTCTAAGGAAACCAATATTAAAGAAGCCATTAAGATATTGGAACGTTCAGACAATGTGGGTATCGGTGCTTATACCCGGCTTCTTGAAGCTTGCATTCGATCGAAATCGCTTAGTGGAGGGGAGAAAATCCATCAGTATCTCCTTAAGAACAATACTCATATTAGAAGTTCCATTGTTTTGGAGAAGCTTACCCGTTTGTATGTTGAATGCGGTGAAGTTGAACTTGCTCGCAATGTTTTTGATAGAATTCCGAACCCAAATGTCGTTTTGTGGAACTCGATGATTCGGGCTTATTCTTGGGATGGACTATTTGACCGAGCCGTTGATCTGTACTATGAAATGTGTGATATGGGCGTCGAACCCAACAAATTCACTTTCCCATTTGTTCTCAAGGCATGTTCAGTTTTAAAAGCGTTGGAAGATGGTAAAAAGATTCATGATCATGCCAAAAGGATTGGGTTGGATTTCGATATCTATGTTTCAACTGCTTTAGTGGATCTATATTCTAAATGTGGATGTCTCAACGAGGCGCAAATCATTTTTGATAAAATGCCAAAAAGAGATGTTGTTGCATGGAATGCCATGATTGCAGGGTCTGCACTTCATGGGCTTTACAAAGATACAATTGGGTTGTTCTTAGAAATGCAGAAAGCAGGGACGAATCCTAACACTTCAACAATTGTCGCCGTTTTGCCCACAGTTGGCCAGGCCAAGGTATTGAATCAGGGAAAAAGCATGCACTGTTATTGCGTTAGAAGGACTTTTGATAAAGATGTGCAGGTGGGAACTGCGGTCCTGGATATGTATGCAAAATGTGAGCAACTGGATTATGCTAGACGAATTTTCAATACCATGGGAGTTAGGACAGAAGTAACTTGGAGTGCAATGATTGGTGGATATGTTTCATGTGGTTGTATGGGAGAAGCATTGAAGATGTTCGACCAGATGTTGCTTAAGGATGAAATGGATCCAACACCAGCTACACTCGGGATTGTTCTTAGAGCTTGTGCAAAGCTGACAGATATCGATAGAGGGAGACAGATCCATGGTTATACAATTAAGTCAGGCTTTCTTTTGGATATAATGGTAGGGAACTCACTTCTTTCTATGTATGCTAAGAGTGGACTCATTGACGATGCAATTAGCTTGTTCAATAAAATGGAGGCAAAAGATACTGTTTCTTATGGTGCAATCATCTCAGGATGTGGGCAAAATGGTAATGCAAAAGAGGCTTTGTTCATATTCCACAAAATGCAAGTATCTGGGGCCCACCCAGATCTGGCAACCATGCTTGGAGTGCTTCCAGCATGTGCGCATTTGGCTGCTTTGAAACAAGGACGCTCAGGCCATGGGTATTTGATTGTTCATGGATTTTCATCAGATACCTCAATTGGGAATGCATTGATTGACATGTATTCAAAATGTGGTAGAATAGATGTTGCCAGGGAAGTTTTTGATAGGATTCCAAAGCAGGATATTGTATCATGGAATGCTATGATAGCTGGTTATGGAATTAATGGGCTTGGCATGGAAGCACTTAGGCTTTTTCATGATTTGCAAAAAGTGGGTATAAAGCCAGATGACGTGACTTTTGTTTGTATCTTATCTGCTTGTAGCCATTCGGGACTCATTACTGAAGGGAAACACTTATTTTATGCGATGAATAAAGATTTCAATATTATCCCAAGGATGGAACACTATATCTGCATGGTTGATCTTTTGGGTCGAGGTGGATTTCTGGATGAAGCACACAATTTCATCCAAAGGATGCCATTTGAGCCAGATGTTCAAGTATGGGGTGCCCTACTTGGTGCCTGTAGGATCCATGGGAATATTGAGCTAGGGGAGGTAGTATCAAAAAACATTCAAAGACTAGGACCTGAAGGTACTGGAAATTTTGTACTGCTATCCAACATATATAGTGCTGCAGGGAGATGGGTTGATGCGGCTCATGTTAGGATTGTGCAGAAGGATTGGGGATTTAAGAAGAGCCCTGGATGCAGTTGGGTTGAGGTATCTGGAAGTGTTCATGCATTTATTGGTGGTGATCATTCCCATCCACAATCAGCATTGATATATGAGAAGTTGGAGGAACTTCTAGTGGAGATGAAGAAATTGGGTTATCATGCAGATGCTAGTTTTGTGTTCCAGGATGTTGAGGAGGAGGAGAAAGAAAGAATTCTCCTTTACCACAGTGAGAAGCTAGCAATTGCATTTGCAATTCTAAGTTTGAGCCCTAACAAGACTATTTTTGTTACTAAGAATTTGCGGGTCTGTGGGGACTGCCACTCTGCAATAAAATTCATCACTATGGTGACAAAGAGAGTGATAAGTGTAAGAGATACAAGTCGGTTTCATCATTTCAAGGATGGAACTTGCAACTGCAGAGATTTCTGGTGAGGAAGAGGATATATGTAGTAAAGAAATGGTATCAATGGCATTTGATGTGGGGAGGTCATACTTGTCTTGTTTTACATGATAAAAAGGCCATCACCAATTGTGATTGCAACCATCCAGGGTCTTGAGAAGGATAGGCTGGATATAGACCTAATCTTGGCAGTTTTTGAATTCTAAGCATTGGCAATTTGGTAATACTGGAGGTAAGTTCTGTTTAGCTGCTAAACCATTAGTATTTGGAATCTCCTATTTGCTAAAGCATGTCTGGATGAAATTTCTTTTCTTTTAATTATGAAGGAATCTAAAGGTTTTCTTGCCAGGCATGCACAACACATACATCACATGTGACATGTCAGGTGTTGGACTCACCATCCAATCTGTTCCACTAATGGAATCACTGTCAGAAAGATCTCTCCAAATGGATATCCGGTTTGCCTGATTTGCACATGCTTTTCTGATTGTCAGAAAAAAGTATTGCAATTGCCTTTGAAGGCAGAAGACAGTTCGCCCTGGAATTGAACTAACCTCTTTGATCCTGCTATATGCATTAATAAGCTATTTCAAGATTGTTGAAGCAGGTATTTGAGAATTTTCCACTTGAAGAACTGTCACTTTTTTATTTTTTAAAAGTAATAATATCCCCAGTATTTTCTGACAATTTCCTTATACTTTTTAGAAGTAGTTATTAGTTTTTTTCTTGGGATTCTTTTCATGCATGAATGTAGATTATTCTACATTTCAAGATCTATTAAGGATCATTGATGCTTCATCCAGAATGCATGATGTAAAGTTATATATGCAGCTTTGAGTTGTCTGTGCTTGTATTGTGTACATGGTAGAACTGGGTGCATGATTGAAGCCTTTGTCTGGGAGAGGAAGAATCATCTTGATGTAGATCAATTATGAATACATAAACAATAGTGGAAATGAATATGTGACATCAAATTTCCTAAAACAGAATTATTAATTGAGGCCATAGGGTACTGCAAGAAATTGTAGAGGTAAAATAGGAATATTCATTAACTTAAGGGCTACAAAGATGGGAGAAATATTACCCTATAGTTAGGTTGAAATTGTCTCTAGGTTAACCTCCATTTGTAATCATTCAACAAATAAGTGGATCTAGAAGAAAATAAGAAGAAAAGAATGGAGAGGAGAAGATAGAATATGTGGAATGCATGAATCAATCTCGAGAATTGCACCTTAATCATTTGTATTTAAATCAATGGCTTAAGTTACAAAAATGTCCATAATTACATAGATCATCATCATCGTCCATGCCTTATTCCAACTATATGGGGTTGGCTACATGAGTCCTGTTTCGCCAATCTGTTTTATTTAAAGCCATATCGATTGTAAAATTATTAGTGCTTAAATCATTTCTTACTACTTCTACCAATGTCCTTTTTGGTCTACCCCGAGCTCTTCTAACTAGTGTAGTCAGTGGTCTTCTATGAATGTGCCCAAGCCATCTTAGTCTACTCTCTCTCATTTTATCACTTATTGAAGCTACTCCTAGGTTCCTATTAGATAACTTCATTTCTAATCCTAGGTTCCTACAGATAACAAATTTTCTATGCTGTATTCTCAAGCCCTTCTGGAGAAGGGGATTTGGTGTATACTAAAGTCAAGCAGTCTTGCAAGGACTAAAAATTGCTAGAGAGTTCAACTATGACAGAGTGGTAATTGAAGGCAACTCCAAGTTGGTAATAGGGTGGCTGAAAGAACCAGAAACAATGATTTGGAAACATAGGGATTCTATGAAAAGGTTTAAATAGCTAATTGTTCAATGGGAAAGGAAGTCAACAAATGGGTTAGCAGTTTTTTTTTTTTTTTTTGCAAAACAGGGGGTGCATAACAGCATAAATCTGAATTGTTTGTGGCTCAACTGTAATTCAGATTATGTAATGGGAGGAAGAATCACCCTGATTTGAGCCACCCTTGCAAATCTACCCACTTACTTGTGGGAACCAGGGGAAGAAAAGAAGGATCATGTGGTTAAATGGGATCAGGTCTGCAAGCCTAAGGATCTAGGGGGTTTAGGGCTAGGAAATATCTTTCTCAAAAATACCGCTCTCCTGGGTAAATGGTTATGGAGGTTCCTCTTTGAAAGACAGGTTATGGCACAAAGTTATAGCAAGCGTTCATGGTTAGGAGGGTATTGGTTGGGATGCTAAACTCAACCCTCATTCTACTTCAGCTTCCCCTTGGAAAGCAATCCATGAGGTTTGCCCTTTGTTTTTTAAGCCCTACTTGGTTTGATTTGGGAAGGGGTGATCAAATTCGGTTCTGGGAAGATCTTTGGGTTGGGGAAGCTCCATTAAAATATCAGCTCTCTAACCTTTTTGCTCTCTCTAACCTTAAGGATGTTCCTGTGTCCTTTTTGTGCACTTCCTCTCCCTCGGGCCTCATCTGGGACTTGGGCTTTAGAAGAGGTTTAAGGGAGATTTAGCATGCATCTTTGATCAAGTTTTTTAATATCCTGTTTGGACCCACTTTGTAGCTACAGTAGTCCGAACCAGTAAGGAGAAGAAGAAAGAGAAGGAGAAGAAGAAGAAGAGAAGAAGAAGAAGATGAAAGAACTGTCAAACCTAATAGCTAAACCCTATCAGTCGACCTCTTAATAGTGATTAGGCTTCTAATTAAATGTACAAGGACTAAACTGCCCCTACTTAAGTATGGGACAGA